GGGGCCGGGTACCAGGGCCCTGGTGGCTGTATCCCCCCCCGCCTCTCTCTCCTCCATCTTGCGTCTCACAATGGCAGTGATGACGCCTGCCACGAGGGGAGGGCTGCATGATCCACGGTCACGCCCGTGCAGTCACACGCGCGTGCCCTTTCTTCTGCCGTGCTTTCTACGCACGGCAAACACCTTTGAGTATGCGCGCGCGCGCGCCCCTCTCCGCTCCCCCCCCCCCCCCCTCCCGCTGGGCGGGGGGAGGCCGAGGGGGGAAAGGCGAGCGCGCGCCCTGCCCTGCTGCTGGTCCAGGGGCAATGGAAGCGGTGGCCTCCTGCACTCGGACGCGTGTGTACGCGCGCACGTCCTCTCGCGCGCAGACAGAGACGCCACCTCTCAGAATAGACCCACAACATCATTTCTCCGCACGGGGAGGGGCTCGGTGAGGCCCCTCTCCTGCAGCCGCGCGCTAACATGGGGCGTATTCTATATTTTGTGGTTGGTGTCAGGGGCAGAGAAGGGGGGGGGGGGGGGGCGGCGGCACGCCCCTTCCCGCGCACGCCCACTATACCGGCCCCCCGTACAGGGGATATGGGTGTGGTGCTGAGCCGGCGGCCGCGGGCGGCGGTGTCGAGGTGGCTGGGAGCGTCCCTGCGGCCGCCGGCGGGCTGATGTTGGCCAGTCGGAGCTGCTCCACAAGCAGGTCTCGCTGGCGGGTGAGTTCGTAGCGGCGCTGCTCGGACTGGGGTTGTGCATGGATGCGTGGCGGGGGGCAGGGCGGGCAGGAGCGGATCAGCCGGGGGAAAGGGGCGGGGAAGGGGCAGGGGGATGTGCAGCCGCACCTCGAGAGCGCTGCGTGCCTCGGCCACGGATGCGGCCTCTTTCTGAAGTTCTTGCGCCCATTGGCGGAGCGCTTGGCGGTCCTGGTCAAGCTGTGCTTGAGCGGGACTGAGACGCCATGTCCACGTCCATGTGTGTGTGTGTGTATGCATTCGGCAGATGTGAGACCGGGACGCGAGTGGGGCTGGTGCTGGCGGAGGGGGGAGGGGACATACGCAGGGGGCGCGGCGGAATCGGCCTTCTTTTGCAGGATCTGGTGCTGCTGGCGCTCGTGCTCTACCAGGCAGGGGAGGGGGCGGGGGCGGGCAGGGGCGCATGGGGTCAGGGAGGCAGGTGCGATTGGGATTGAGCCGGAGAGGGGCGTGCTGCACGCACGCAAGGCCCGGGTAAGGTCGTCCACCTGGCGGCCGAGGGCATCCATGTCCGAGAGGCGAGCCTGGGCGGCGGCCAACTCGGCCCGGAGATTCGACACCTCCTCGGCCGGGCCCGGAGAGTCTGGGCACCGGAGCGAAACGCCCGGGATGGGGCTGTCCCCGTCCGGGCCGCCGCCCAGAGGGCCGGCCTCATCTAGGAAGGCAAATTGCCGGATGGCCTCGTGCGCGATGCGGAACCCCAGCGAGATGAGCCGGTCATCGAAGTGGTCCGGCGGCGGATAGGAGGGCTTGTGGCAGGGGGCGGGGCGGGGGGGGGGGGGGGAGGGCCGGCGGCAAGGCGGGCGGTCAGCTTCGAGGGATGCTCACTGGGGGGGAGGTACGAGGAGAGGGCAGGCACAGGGAGGCACCGGGCCGGACGTACATTGAGCTCAAAGGCCGGGGCCCCGTGTGTGATGGCCGACACCCACTGGGCGCTGGTCATGGAGTGCGACTGGGCGGCCGGGATCTTGGGCAGGACGACCGCCGGGCCGGCAGCCAGGCGCGGGAAGTGGTACGACAGGGCGGTGCACTGCGCGTGCGGGTGTTGGTTTTTTTTTTGCGAATGTCACGGATGTGCGCCCGTGCGCCAGGGTCAGAAGCGGGGCGGGGCGGGTACGGGCAGAGGCAGCGGGCCGCGCACCTCGGACGGCGTGATGACGGCCGAGATGTCGCCAATGGTCAGGAGCATCTGGCAAAGGAGGGACATGGCTAGCCGGAGCTTGGCGTTCTCCTGGCCGAGATGGCGGTTTTCCGTGGCCAGCGCCGACCGGGCCAGCTGCAGGGCCTCGGCCTCGGGCTTGGACGGCTGGGGAGGGAGGGGGGGGGGGCGGCTCTCGGGCGTCAGCGGCGGGCGGCAAGGGGCCGGAGTGGAGGGCGAGGAGGGGCCGCTACGGGCGGTTCTCGAAGGGGCACGCACCTTGCCCGGGGCGGCAGCCAGCGCAGGGGTGGGGTCCGGGCGGTTGAGAACGCGGACGCGCGCACCGTGGCCGGCGTCGCGGGTCGGCGCGCGCCCGGCCCCGGTGCGCGACGTCAGCTGCTGGGCCACCTGCTGCCGGAGTTTAAATACCTCGGTCTCCAGCCGGCGGGTCTCATTCTGCCAGCGGCGGCGGCGGCGGCGCGGAGGGGCGTCAGTGTCAGGCAGGATCGGGGAGGGAGAGGATGGGCGCCGGGCGCCGGGCGCCGGGCCGGTGCATGCGTGGACACACCTCGCGGAAGGTCCGCTCGCGGGCGAGGGCCTCGGCGTGGCGCTTGGCATCGGAGCGCGCCGCGCGCAGGGCCTTGGAGGACTCGGTCAGTGAGGAGAGGCTGGTGGTGAGGCGCGCGCGGACGGCGTCCAGATCGCGGGCCATCGCCGCGGCTCGGGTGGCCCCTTCGCTC